TCTTCTTCAAGTTTTTCATGAAGAAATGTAGTTTTCGCATCCTACTATTCCAAGTGCAAGTCAAATGTAGCACACGTTCTCAAGGTTACTCGAATTGTTATAAGTCGAACATCAGGAGAAAAATATTTCATTGAAGTCAATGCCTTATTTTTGAGCTAACCATTCACCTCCAATCTTGCACGATACTGCTCCACTTGGTCATTGTCATCTCGCTTAATCTTATGGACTGATTTGTTGTCGATAGTTATCCCGCCTTGTGGTAGTAAAACAAGATCTCATGTCTTGTTTTTATAAAGAGCTTTCATTTCTTCTTCCATTGTTGTCATCCATAGAGTAGTTTCTTGGCTATTTATAATTTCATAGAAAGTTGATGGCTCTCAATCCTCTATTAGTATACATTATGCAATATTGCCCCCCCTCATAATGTACTTGGAGTGGGATGCTAGTTCTCTTATCTCTCGTGTTGATCTACAAATTTCTGGAGCTATAGATTCAACTTGTTTTCGTTTCTTGTGCTTTAGAGGTACTTCAGAAGATTCTAGAACCTTTTATTCTTGACCATCTTTAACATGAAATTTTGTACTCTAATTTCCCATTTGAAGAGCTATTAGCTTCATTTTCTTGTCACTTGCCTTCGGCAACTATTATGTCTTTGTTGATTATCACTTCGTGGGTAGTGGGATCCCACATGTAGTAATTCTTGACTACATCAATATACCATAAGAAAAAGCATTTTTTGGATTTTAGATGCAGCTTTGATGTTTCTTGGATGCTATACATAATGTACATAGGACTTCCAAATACAAATAAATGAGAATAATCAACTGCCTTATCGGTCCACATCTCTATACGCATCATTAGTTCAAAAGCGGCTAATGGTAACTGATTGATTACATAACAGGTGGTTTTACTGCTTTAGCCAAGAATGACTTTGCTAGCCCCACAGTTGTCAGCATTGCTCTTGTTCTTTCTAACACTATTCTATTCATCGACTCTGCCAGTCTATTTTGTGGTGGAGTGTACGTCATTGTGAACTCTCTTTTAATACCTTTTTGTTGATAGAAATTATCAAATTCATTATTGATATATTCTCATCCGTTATAAGTCCTTAAACACTTGATCTTTTTTTCACATTCAAGTTCTATTAGCACTTTGAATATTTTGAAGACCGAAAATACATCTGCCTTTCTCTTGATTGGATTAAGTAACATCTCCTCGAGTAGTCATCAATGGAAGACATAAAGTATCGTGCACGTCCTAAGGACAAAACTGGTGCTTGCAAATTATTAGAATGAACCAGCTTTAAAATAACTTTGCTTCTAATAATGAAGCTATTGTATTTCAATCTGTACTACTTACTAGCAGTATATTGCTTACAAAAGGATAATGAAACCTTTTTTGAGTCCTCGAAAAAGCTTTTGCTCTACGAGATTTTTCACAGTTCATTCCGACATGTGGTTGAATTTGCGGTGCCACATCATCGTTAATTCTTCTACTAACTTGTCGATGCAACATATGCTTCTCCCTCTCACTGTATCTTTCCTTTAAGTGTGTAAAAAATTGGCCTATATCTTATTCATTGTTAGCACCACATGTATGCCTTTGACTATCTTCATAATCCCATCTTGAACATGCATTTTACACCAACTGCCATCTAATTGTCCCTTGGGCAATAGATTTTTCTTCAAACCCTTCACATGTCGTACCTCTTGGATGGTGCTAATTGTATCACCATACATTTTTAGTTTGACTGTGCCGATATTGACGGATAGAGATGTTTGTTTCTCATTTTTTTTTATTTCTTTTAAGAATGAATTTCAGACATTTGTATATTAGTACATATATTTGCATTTTAAATAGGCTATTCTCGGCTATAAACTATTTTGGCTAAGAATATGTGATGGGATCCACGGAAGGCATCAATATGGCAAGGAATTGAAGCAGGTTGATAAGGAGCCAAGACTAAGAATTGAGCTAAGTGGGAGACCTCGAAGAGCTAACAAAGTCATCCAATTAACAAGCCAAATCTCAAGTGTAATGTGGGGATGCCGAAGGCCGAACAACTAGGAGGCAATTCAATTCAAGAAGCGAGGAATCGCGCCTGCCATAAAGCCATGTGACTGCAAGGCTTTAAGTCTCATGTGGTCACTCAAGAGGAAGCAGAAAATTAATCGACAGCAAATATTGATCCATGCGACCGCATGGAAATATTCCATGCGGCATCAAGGTGTATTTCGAGACCAAGAATTATAATTTTCTTGCGAGTTTCCTATTTGCTTTATAACTCTAATATCTTAGTATCTTTACAATATTTTGCATGTATTTTCCTTTTAAATTTAGGTTTTTAGGACTTGATACAAATAGGACTTATTTTATTCATTGTAATCTTGGGACTTTTGATATTGAGAAATAATTGAGAGGCTTGTTTGCTTCCACTCTCTTGTTCTTAATTGTTCAATTCGAACTTATCAAGATTAACAATCTTGTGATGTTCACAAATCCGGGTGAGGTTCAATAATTGTGTGATCAAGAGGTCGACAAATTCATTGTTGTTGGTTGTTTGGTTCATAAATTTTGGATTAAATCCAAAACCTTGGATCTTTGATGTTCTTGGTATTCGGTTTCAACCTTGTTGTGAGTTTTGTAGTTGCCGTTACTACGCGGATTCACATTAGTTGTTATAAATAAAAGTTTTATGAAATTGTGTATATAGAGTGAAAATGTTGAATAAACTGAAATATAATGATTTGTTTAGTTATTTGTTTATATTAAACTTTGGTTGGACCCCTATTTTCAACCATTATAGTGTTATCGACCAATTTTGTGATATAGGCAAACACAAAGAAAAATTGAATTAGAAGATGTACATTTGATTAAGTTTAAAATGTTTATGTATTAGTAAACTAAATGTAGATAAATAATTTGCAAATTAAAAAATTACTCATTTTCTTTGTATTATAAACTTTTTACCTTAAAAAAATAAAAAAAGTATCTTACCTTAATAAATTTAGAAACAAAAAATTACATATTAATCATGCTCTTCATATTAATTCAGAGCATTTATTTTAATTTAGAAACCAAAGTTACATTCAAAATAGATACCGGTGTAAAAAATCTTAAACAAAATTTTTGTTTTTCTTTTGCATGGAATTAGTTTAAATGGAGGAATAAAAATTCTCTCTTTAAATGTACCGAGATAAAAATCTTGATCTTTTCTTTTTATATTTATATCCAATAATTAACATGATTACCATCAGATTTTATACTTATACAAAAATGAAAACATAATAATAAATACCCAATACTTTTTATTAATACTTAAAAAATTGGTTTTAGTTAAAAAAAAAAAATGTGTAATTGAGATGCAAAGCTTGTATTTAGTGGGTTTGATACAAGTATGGAAAGTGTAAGTAACTCCTAATTATTAGAAGCGATTTGTAAGGTTTTTAAGATTGATGGATAGTTTCTCCCATCATCGATTCTTTCCTTCCTAGCCGTTGATCACATTTAAGCAATTTTTTCTTTTCAATTTTTTGTCCTTTGTGTTTGAATAGTTAACTATATTATCAACTATTAATTAATTAAACGTGAAATTTATAATCTTTGAATGAAAATGTTGACAATGTTATATAAGGACAAAATGGTAAATTGAACATTTCTCATCTATCCCCAATATTTTGTTTTTATAAATATTGTAATTATAATATAATTATATAAGTTGATGAGCATTGATTTTAGGTGAAGCTCATGTATATAAATAATAAATAATATAATGTATACACATGTAAATATAAAATAACATTATACTTTATTAAATCTGTCATTAATGATATCTTAATTAAAATTTAATTCCATGTAGACTCCTTTTACGCATAGCATTCATTTTTCATATTGAAGTACTCATAATTCCATATTAATTAAATTAAGTTTAATCTCGATGCTAGTCTGCATATATAATCATTTTAAAAATATAATAAATATTATATTAAATGATAATTAATCTACCATTATATTAATGCATCCTTTAATATATTTTATTATATAATTATAACAACAAATTACATCTATTTATGTGAGCTGAGATTTTAAGTGGTAAACTTAATTTAAATAATGTAATTTAAGTAATTAAACAATATAAAACAATGGGCATTATACTTAAATGGTTATTAAATGAAGTCAAATTATATTAAATGGTACTATATTAAATATATAAGAGTAGAATTGACATAAAACTAAATATATGGGGATTTTTATCAACAGCATTAATTAAATTTATTCAACATAAAATTGAAAAATGGGTATTGTTTAAGGAGCTCAAATGATGATGGCTAAAAAAAAAAAATTATTTTAATTTGATTAATTTCATTAATTCAAAATGAAATTGAAAAACATATGTTGTTTGAGTTCAAGTGATGGCCTTAAATAACCATTTATTCGATTAATAGCATTACACTTAAATGTATATTAAATGAAGTTAAATTACATTAATAGTAGTATTAAATATATAAGGGTATAATTGACATATTACTAAACATGTAAGGGTAAAATTGGCATTCAAAATTTTCTCCTCAATACTCAATTTTTTGTTTGATTCCCATTGGGGGTAAAAAATGCATTTTAAATAGTAAATTGATGAAAAATGTGTGATTAAAAATTAAGAAAAAATTTTGGATTTACGTGTAATATTATTTTATTGAAAAATGTATGATTGAAAATGAGTTTTGAAAAAAATGATTTTTTAGAAGAATGAAGCTCAAACAAGGGCTCAATATATATTGTAGATAAATAATATAAATAGGTCATTGTTAATAATCATAATTTATAAAAATCACTTGATTTCAATTCCCCAACAAAGTGATCGAGACTTGACGGTTCGCTGATAGCTTAAAGAGGAAGGCAATTTTAGCATTATTATCACAACATGAAGAAAGAACTAATCTCAAAATCATGAAAATTAAAAGAATAAAGATTAATGCAATCTAAGCATAACCTCGTGACGATCTCAAAATTAAGACACCAACCCCCATGTCATGAAAATAAAAAAATCCCACAAATTATAGAAAATAAAGACACCATCTTCATTATGAAAAATAAAAAATCCCCTCAAGTTATAGCAATCTGAATAACAAAATTCAAACTAATTTTGATAATCAGATAACAGATAACAAGATAATCTAGCATGTACGTACTGAAAAAAGGACTCTTTTTTTTGTTTAAATACCAAGATGGCTTCCTTTGTTTAATTGAACCATAGACATTACAATACGGGGGTAATCTCAGTTTTTCTCTCTCGATCTCAAGTTCATTGAAACTTTTTCCATGGATTTCATTCATTGGCTCTTGATCTTTTCTGCATGGTTCATCATCTTCTCCTTCATTCAACCCACCTTAGGCGATGATCCTACTCAAGCATTAATCCATAAGATTTGTCGACAAACACCAGATTATGAATTCTGCACCAATGTGTTTAACAAAAACATTCATTCCCCTGTAACAAATGCTGTTGGTCTAACTCAAATAGCCCTGACTCGATCACTGGAAAACTCGACCAACACGCGGATTTTCATACAAAAGAAAGAAGCTGCTGAAAAAAACAAAGAAATGAGGGATCTTTACGAAATCTGCAATGCTGGTTATGGGGCTGCGATGGAGGTTTTGGAAAATGCTACCTTAGAATTCGCTAGTGGAAATTACAGGATCATGTTAAATTTTGTATCTGAAAGTGAAAGACCAATAAGCGACTGTCAAAAGATTTTTAGTGGCATTATTGAGATTGGATTGAAGGAAAGAAATAGGCAGATGGAAATACTAATAAGCATGACATTGGCTTCTGGGAGACTTATTGTTACTTAATTGATTATAATTTGAATGGTTATTATGATAAGCAATAATATATAAAAATAAAGCATACATCTTTTAATACATGTTGGGGAATTCATAGATCATAGTTAGTGTAATGATCCGACAGATGCACAAAGCCACGGACAGCTAACTCATACGCATTATTCATTTTGGAGAGCCTGATCAATTTTACCTCTCATGAATTTTTTCACGTCTATCAAGATTCGAATACATGATATCTATCTTATGATATACTTAAGTTGAATGATTAATTAGTAGACTAGGTCAAGGACATATCATGGTGACTATTGTTGTCAATAAGGTCCTATTCGTCAATATTTTTTAATAATTGATCCCATGATTTGAGTGTTTGGTTATGCCAAGATTAATAACGTACATAGTAGTTTAGAGTAATGCCCAGAGTTGTAGTTTTTCATTAAGTGCTTGTTTGGGATCACTTAACAATTAATTTTAACCACACTTTTGATGGAACCCACAACTTTTATAAACTATTTTGAAAATCCACTATTAACTTTTATCAAATGCTTAGTTAAACAACCTCTAAATGTTTTTCATTTGTGCTACATGTATATAATGGTTTGCATACACATGATGTGGTGATACACGACTAAATGAGAATTTGTTCAACCAAATAAAAAAAACTTCACCACTCACTTTTTGATTAGATTTGTAAACCATTATGTAACTCCATTA